TATATATATATTTATATACATATATATAAAATATACACATACATATATACTGATTTATAGTCATATAATAGGCATACATACAGATTCACATATATACTTACTAATTTATAACCATGATCTGGCGGCTCAGCTTCAGTTAATTTCCCATCGCCATAAGATTGCCTCCCTGTGCCTTTTCTATAAATATTTAATATTAATTGTTTGGATGAGCTCTTTGCTATGGTACCTAAACTTTTTGAATTTAAGTGCGGTATTAGACTGACATCTCATCAATTTACATTTGAGCTGGTTAGATGTAGCCGTAAATTCTTTGCAAACAGTTTCTTTTCACACACTTCTCACTTGTGGAACTCCCTACCAGTTCCATGCTTTCCAGCCAACTTCAATCTGCAAAAATTTAAATGTAATGTCAATTGCAAGTTACTATCCTCCTGATTACTCTTTTCTCTTCTTGCTCATTAGTAATGTTTCTGTTCCTAATTCTTATGCCCAGTAACCCCTTGTGTCATAGTGGCTTTACTGCCTTGATTAAAAAATATAAAATATGCAATGACAACTACAAATGATAAAAATTATAAAATGTTTTTGTAGCCATATTAAATTTCTATCAAACTCGAAATAAAAATTTATAATTATTTTATGAAAATAATATTTTCTCATTCTATAACCAATTCTCAAGAGATCACTACTATTCAACTAGACCTATTGAAATACCAGAAATGTTTAAGCCAATTGTCAATAGTAAACAACTGATATATTTTCTTATATCTATCCTGTCTGGGGAATCTAATTCTTATTTAGGACTGCTCAGTTACTACATGTCCCATTTTCACCAAGTTCAAGCATACACTGCCCATCTCAGAGATTGAACTCATAATTAAAATATCATTAATAGTTTGCATCTAAATATTGTAAATAATGATAATTTCTCATCCCAGAGATATCATTATTTTCTCTTCTAGTTACATATGCTATTAATTTTAGTTGTTGCCGCTGTTGGAAGTCTTCAAGTGATGTGGTTTTTCTTATTTGGTAAAGTTCTTTTTGATTCTGTAGTGCCAGTCTATGAGATCCGAGATAGGATAATCTTCTTTAAAACCTATATTTCCTCTTAACACCTGAACTAAAACAGCATATATTGAATAACTATTAACAGATAATTAGTAGAAAAACTTAAATGACCATGACTTAAAAAAAAAAAAAATCAGCATTCGACAAGAGAAAACTGCACAATCAGCCTATCTTTTCTTTGGCTTATGGCCATATCATGTTGAAACACTGATTCTTATCCCATCACCAATATTAACATTGAGGCTGTATCTAGATGAGCAACCATTTGGAAAATACCAAGTGCTGTATGGTCGTATGTGTGAGTGTTGTAATGGGCAACAGTTTGGCATGAGAAATTGGAGAGCCAAGTTTGAATTCCAGATGAGTTCATTACATTCACTTATGTGCAAATAACCTATGAAAAGGTATGAATCCATCTCCTTTCACCTATGGGCCAAATAGCAGGACCGACTGAGTCCTATAGCCTTGGTTGGCAACCAGTCTACTGCAGAAAGTAATGGCAGTGAACTGTGGAAATTCTTCTGCCAAGTCAATTATAGATTGAAAAGACCTGACTGACCAAGTGTATCACATTCACCCCAACCAATACGTATCAGGCCAGTGTAGTAGGGTAATGGTATATTCCTCCCTGTGAACAGTAAAGTTGGCAAGATCTGGTGTTCAATAATAGTTTAGCAGACTATTATTTTTTAGGAGGAAGTGTATCTCAGCTCCAACTTACAGAGGTTGGCCTTTGGGGTCAGATGTAAGACATAATAAGGAAGTCGATTTTGATTGGCTGAGCTGAGTGAGAATGAATGGATTCCTGTGAGTTGTTTCTTAACCATCAAGCAATGTAGATGTGTTCTCTTTCATATATGAAACGGCTCCCCAGGGAGGGGGAACAACCCCCACTGGATAGTTAGTACATGTCAACATTAATATAATAGTTAAGTTAAAATTCTCAGTGTTTGAAGTCTTTCAAACTCTGGACCTACAACATCTAGCAATCATTAGCCAAGAGAGAAGATGCAACATTTAATTGAATTGGTGCTGTTGACCATGACATCTCAGCATGTGGGCTGTGCAGCATAGCAAAGGTCTACACCCAACAAAGGACCTTCACAGGGAGAAAAGATCTTGTGTCTTCTTTGTGGATAAAAACGTATCAGTTATCTTTCAGTAGATGAGGTCATTGTTTGAATTCAAATAATAGCTAGGATTCCATAGATTTGATACATTTCAAAACAGGCTCTCTGTAGGCTAATACCATAAAATCATCCAGGTATCAAATAGTATGAGGAATGTTTTTATACTACTGTTCACACAATACAAGGCCCATGAGCCATTCAAATTAGAGGTTTATGAATGAAGTTGCTGTAAGAGCATGACAGAAATAGATAAGAAGTGCATGAGGTTATGTAGGATAGATAATGTTCAACAGTAGACTTGAAGAGCTTAGAATTGTAGTGATTGAGGATGCATCTTCTCAGAAGTTTGCTCCACAAGGTAACAATTCTGGGGAAGTAGCTGCCTCAGTGAAACTTCCTCCTTAGCAATGAAATATGAATGGAATGGGGATGATTTGATGACATATACATGGCACAGTGGGTCCTAGCAGTGAAGCTCTGAACTGATGGAACTAAGAAATGTAGCTCATCTGAATATTTGCTATAGAAATAGCAACAGAGTAGTGAGATGTTAGCAACATTGTGTCTATGGAAAACAGGTTGCAAAGTGGAAAATAATTAATCACCAACAAGGCCGCATAATTGCTTCTGAACTCTGCCAAGGCTGGACAGTGAAAAATATCCATAAAGTAACTTATAAACATTTATTAATTCAACATTTTTTATTACTATATAAATTAAACATTGCGCATATATTACAAGCACTACTACTCCATTTTTATTTATTATTTACATAAATACCCTCCTTGATGAACATGGTTTATTGGTCAGGAGATTTTAATTCCATTTTTAAAAGTGGTTTTAGATCAAGGTTAGATAAGCTGTTTTTGATGATGTGCCAAAAGTTTTCTGAGGTTGTTGTGATTATTATTTTCTGTGCATTTTTCTATTTTTCTTCTGTGAATTTTGTAGGCTTTTCATTTAGCATTATACAGAAAATTGAGGTTAGGAGGAGTTCACTACCAGATGGAGACAAAAAAAATCTTTTCCATTTTGTCTATCTTCACTTTTGTTTCGATACTATCCTAAATCCTACTAACACCAACATTGACTAATCCAACAGGTTTATTAATATGCAAATAAAATATTATGTATATGTTACCAGCACTACTAAGGTACTTTTCCATGTAGTTGTCATCAAGATTTATACATTTATCTAATCAGTACACAAGTGAAGTGAATAAATAGCATCCATGAAGAACATAGTGTCAAGAGATTGGAGCCACCTTTCCACTTCTGCAACAACCACATCATTTATGAGGAAACTCTTCTGGAAAAAGTGTTGCTTGAAGAATAAGTAAGGGATGTCACTTGAGGAACCCAAACAAATAAAGGGATAGGAGTTAGACTTCAACTGATATCTAGAACTCACTATTAGAAATTCCTAATTTCTGGTCTATTGTTTATTCATTGTTGCATACTGGCAGTTTGTTTTAAAAAAAGAAATGATCAAAGAAATATTGTGATGCAATGGTAACCATCTATGATCAGGATGTCCACACAGTAAAGTGGAGAGTAAATGATTTTATCTAAATCTGAAATGTCTGGTGTTTTATAAGCAGCAGTAAAGATTTTCAAACAAACACATTCTATCCAGAAATAATAGAAAGGAAATAGAGTGAGTAAATAAATGAATGAAAACTTTCAGGATCAAGTGCCACTTGGCTGGAAGGTAGAAAGTTCTGGTCATAAATTTATATAGGCAGAGTCACGGAATGGTCAGTTTGTGAATCACACAGTATGATGTAAAGATGAGCAGAAGAGGAAGTCAGAGTTCTCAATGACTGAAGGGGAGATTTAGTCCATTAGTTTGTGATGAGAGAAGATAGCACCTGCAGGAAAGACATTCCAAGTATCACCTATCTACTCCCAGAAAATGTCATGTGAATCAGTGAATAAATAACTAAACACACTAAAAACAGGGTTAACATTTTCTTTTCTTGCCATGGAGTTATTTTCATCTTCCATTTCCTTGTGAACATACACTAGGCCTTTCACTGTTTTTGTGCACACTGACATGAATGAGAATCGATTGGTTCGGTTTGTTTTATGGCATATCAACCTCAAGGGTTATTTAATGCTGACAAAATTTTTATTGCTGGTAATATTTTTCTTCAAAAATGTATAGCTGGTAATTTTTTTTTCAAAAATGTATTGCTGGTAATAATTTTTCCTTCAAAAATTTATTACTGGTTATAATTTTTTTACAAAGTATCTCTGGTATTAAAACCAATTTTTACACTTTCATAGTGTTTTGACCCAAGTTTGGTGGTTAACTATTTGCCCATAGCTGGGATCCTAACAGGTGCTACCACTCTGAGTCAGGGTGGATCTGGAGACACCAGCAATTAAGAGGTGGTTCCATGCTCCTCAAGATCTCCTGATCAAAGGCCTTGCTGTCAAATGTAGTTTATCATCTTACCCAAGATACAGGTGTAGTTTATCGTCTTACCCAGGATACAGATGCAGTTTATCATCTTACCCAGGATGCGAACAAAAATCAAAACATGTGTTTTGTTTGACTGATTTGTTTTTATGGCTTAAGGTTATTTAAAACCACAAAATATTTTTAGATTCTAAGAATTTTTTAGAGATAACAATTTACTGATACATGTCTTTATCTGGGAGAAGAGATGGATCCATACCTTTCCCAATGGTATTTGCATATAAGTGAATAGAATGAATACAAGTGGAATCATAATTTGGCTCTGAAATTTCTAATTTGGAGCCATTAGCAATTACACTACCTGCACATCCAAGCTTACCGCACATGGTATTCCCAAGCAGTCACCTATATAGATACTGGCCTGGCCTAATAACACTTAACTTTGGTGATCATATGAGAACCGGTGTTTTAATGTGATATGGTCATAACCCACAACTTGAGATGATTTGTCCTGTCAGTGAAGAATTGTGTTAGGGACCCCTCATTAAATTTATAATACAAGTCAACATTAATAATGTATAAACAAGTCTGTTCCTTATCTATTTATGACATTATTTATAGCTATGGATATTGATATTGGCTATCTTGGCAAATGAAAGCAGAAATAAGAGAAAGAAAAGCTGTGGTGTGTGAAAGATGTCTAAATCTCCAGTATAATTCTTCTAAGAGATAGATTTACATCTTCAAGTGAATAAGAAAGGTATGAAGCTACATAGAACTTGGTGATTCATAAACAAAGCAAGCTAACAGGTTAATGTCCAAAGAAACTTTATAAACCAACTGAAAACTTTGGCAATGATTCAGAATATCATGACTTTTTTTTCTGGCACCAGAAAACCAACATTCATTGTTCCTCCTATAGTGAAAAAAACAATTATTTCTGGCAAGAGCTCTAGTCCTTTGTTTAATCTAATTTTATATTTGAAGCATTATTTTATAAATATTCAGAAGTAATGTTGACTGATTGATTTGTCTTTTATGGCTTATTGACCTTTTGCAGTTTCTTTAAAGTCAGAAAGTATTTTTAGATTGTAAGAATTTTTGGAGATAATAATAATTCTTACTGATACAAGTACTCCCAATTAACCCATGGCTAGATGGAGAATGGGTGAAGTCATACCTTTCTCAAGGGGTATTTATATGTAAGTGAATATGACAAACACAACTAGAATTGGAATTCCAAGCCATTATCCATTACAAAATCTGCATATTCAAGCTTACAGCATCTGGTATTCCCAAGCAGTCAACCATCTAGATACTGACCAGGTTTGACATTGCTTAACTTCAGTGATCATACAGGAACTGGTGTTTGAATGTGATATGGCTATAAGCCTATATCAATGTAAAGCTTATAAAAAAAATAGACAAATTTAAACAATAACAATGATAAGTGAAAGCATTGTCTTTTCCAACTTTGCTTGCGATAAGAGTAGAGTACATAAAATTACTGTTTTTACCCTTCAAAGATAAATATTTCCTATTTAACACTTTTCATAAAACAATCATGTAATTTAGTTTTATCCAAGTTTATTCTTATCATTCATGACCTAAAACAGGTGAAAGGTAATTAATAACTCACAATATAGACTCTTTTAGAAAAAAAAAAAAAAGTAGGTGCAAAAGATTACCAAAAAGCTAAGACAATCTAGGGATCACTGTTCTATACAGGTAATAGTATAGAAAAAAAAAAAAGGAATAAAAGATTTACAGAGAGAGTAAGCTAAAAGTAAAAAGTAAGCTAGTTGGTATTTCTCATTCATTATCTCAGGTTCTCTCTTTTATAATATCTAAGAAAATTATTGGAATATTTTTAATGCGTACATTATTTTTCAGTTCTTTTTATGAGATATTATCATAGGAAAAATATAAGAATTCGCCACCAAGCCCAAGTATAGTGACATTTTTTATCACAGACTGAGCCAAATTTAGCTCCACCCAAAAAAATATTTAAAAGTAAAATCATTTTATATTAGATGAAAGGAATTTTTCCCACCATTTTTTTGTGATTATCTACTTTTTTAACATTAAGATTTAGATTCTGATAAAAAAATTTTTTTTTTTTTAAATCAATGATTTTAATAATATAAAGAAATTGAGTTAAAAAAAAAAAAAAAAAAGCTTTTATTTTATTATAAATTTGGGACTAGTTTTTCTTTCATTTTATTTTCATTGCATTTTATCACAGTGTCTATATGTCAGTCTTGTAGACTTCCTGTGAAGTATTGCAGAGGGGGAGGGGGGCAGCCTCACCAAGCTAAATGTTGCTGTGATGGTTTCTATAGCAAATAGGTTTTTGTAAAGATATTTATATATAACTATTAAATTGTAAAATAATACTTAAATACTAAATTCATTTTGACCTCTGATGTCCTATTCAACACCAACCTTTTGAAGTTTTATTACATTTTTAGATAGTCTGTTCAGACTCAAAACTATATAATTTGAAGATTTGGGTATCTTGATAAATTCAATGCCTCAGCATCAGTAAAACTTGCATAAATCCAAAAACTATGTTTACACAAATTATAAAAAGTAGACCTAGATTTATGATTGCTCTCACCATGACTTAGAAATGTTGCTGGTTTAAGTGTGTAGGTCCTGTAGAACCCTGTGGAGTATAGGGCTAAGACCTCACCATGTTAGGCATTGTTGTTGAGGTTTCTGAAACAAATAAATGTATATTCTGTCTTTTTATGGGATGGAGTTGCTAGCCCCATGTCCAACCTGTTTTGAATTCAAAGTTGTCCTTCTCTGATTAGCAAACAAACCAATAATCATATAAATACAGGTAAAATAATCCTATCCAGAAGTAAAACCCCTAAAATCATAAATATTTCTGAGTTCCATTTAATATTTAAGAAAATAACTAAAACTACTACCTTGGCAATGTAAACATCAGATAAATTTGGCTTAAAACAGAGAAAAACTAACTCCATAGTCAAATTAATATATAACTAGTTTTAACCAGTGAAAATTTCAGTTTTCCTATTTTAATATTCTGCTGAATCTTAATTTTTAAGTTAATGATTGAGTCATCTCATAGCAAGTTTTATGACAATGAAATTTCCATAGAAGTTTCCCTATTGCATCATTAAATATTAGAGCTTAACAACTTTAACAAAATATTGTAATAACCATCACAATTATGAATGCTGGTCATTATTTTAAGAAGAGGGTACAAATGAAAAGATTTAAAATCAACAACTTTTTCTATTTCACTGAAACAGCTGTTAAACACTTTATTCTTACCTTCTTTCTTTCATTAATTCATTTTCACACTGAAACCAAGTAGTGTCTCCCCCCCCCACCTTCCACAAGCTCAAAACAGAATAGTCCATTATTTATGAAGTATTGACAGAACATAATGGTCATGTAACCTAACAAAGGGAGGGACAAACACAATTATAATAGGATAAAATGCCCTGCTAAATAGCTGAGGTAGTTGCTCATTTTCACACCAGTATCACCTACTTAAAAATACTGACATAGCACAATCTTTTTGCTCCCTCTTTCTAAACCTCACAATCCTGTAACCCACTAGGATTCTATTAATACAGGCATAGCAGCAGTGGACATATTATTTAGGGCAAGATAGCCTGATAAAGTCCACCTCTTAAAGGCTGGCTTTGAATTTAGAGTTTGTCTTTCATCTAGATTAGCTGCTATTTAAGGCATAAGAACTCAGTCTGCTTTGCTATTTAACACATAGCTGGAGGGGGATGAGTTCGTGCCTTTTTTGAGGGAATCAGTGCAAAGTGAGTGAAATAGACTCAATCAGAGTTTGAACTCAACACACCAATTCCATTTTCTATACTTATAACCGTTATGCTATGCATAAATCCTAAGCTTAAAAAAAAACATCATAAATAATATCTTGTGATGTTTGACTTCTTGACAGGTTTATGAATAAATCTGAGATGGTGATATAATTAAAAATTTTAAGTTTCTTGCTCTTTGAATAAATAAGAACTCCAACAGTATACAATATAGTATAATATATAGTACACTTAACACAAAGAGAACTGAATCAGACGCACCACACAAACACTAAAAAGAAAATCTAAATATATAAATGTTCTCTTCTTCTAAATATCAAATATTTGAAAAGAATGAACACACACACACACACATAAATAATAGCCTTTCCAATAGTTGTTCAGACAATGCAATCTCTTGTTGCTATTGTTATCACATTGTTGTTTCAGTCAATCCATTTGCAGCTGTGCAATCTTTTTACTTTTTTTTACAGGTAAAACAAACCTGAAAATGGTTGTCAACAGACAAAGAAAAAAAGACTGTGACAAATATACTGATTAGCTTTACACATTCCATTGAATGTACAAAAGCCATATCTAATGAGAAAGTAAAAAAAAATCAACTATGGCAAACCATATTTGGAGAAATTTCTCATATTCAGTAAGATGACATATTTAACTAAAGACACAATGTATGACCAACAAAGTATACAATATGGAATCAGGTAACTAAAATATGTTGCTATGTGCTGATGTGGATTTGCTTACAGAAAACATACAAATGTGACCACAGAGACAATCACAAAAAAAAAATCATTTGCATAGAGACTCTTTTCAGTATTTTCAAGTACCAACTCTTTTGGCATAAGAGGCACAAAACCTTTCTTAATGAAAACAATTTGAAATAAAAGAATCTTGTCCTCTTTTCAATTTCTCTCTCCATTTTATATCTGAATAAAATTATGTTATCCAACACCAGGTTATATCTTTCTCTTAATCATGACAGAAAATCACTGGTCATTTGTATTTTACATTAACAATAGCTCATAGTGTAATGGATAACAAGCAGCTCTTACAGAACATTATGACTGAGTACAGAGTTCAATCCTCAAGGGTGCCCATTGCCAGTGGCCTTGTACCAAAACTTAGGTAAGCTTAATAAACAACAACAATAGCTTAAATTAAAAAAAAAAAAAAAGTCTCCTTATTGCACTGTCTTGCTATGTATTTTTCTTCAGCAAACATTTTTTATAGGAGTTGGGAAATCTTATGATAAAATAAAATTTTAAAAGAATCTCTTAATGATGATGAACATTCTATGGTCAAATAATTTGTACATTGATTAATGCCTATACAAAAATTTATTTTCACCCTGTCACTTACAAAAAGTAATAAATTTTGCTTTATAAAAATATGTTGAGAAAAAATTTTAAATATCTTTGAAACAAACTTCTTATAAATAATAAGAAATGTGTCATTAATTAAAAAGAAATTAATTAAAAAGAAAACTGCTATGTTGCTTTTGTGATAAGTTAGTTGTGTGAATTAGTATAAGGGTAGAAATAACAGCAAATAAAACAACCATTAGGTTCTAGAATTAAAAGCATCCCATCAGAGAATAATAGACCATTAGTACTGTAGTGAGTTCACAATACTAGTGGCCATGTACCAGACTGAGCTAAGCTTACTAAATACTAATAACTTTGAGAATTAGCAGAGTAGTGAGTTATTCAACAACACTTACACACCAGTAATTTTGTGTTTTTTTTTTTTTTTTTTTTTTTTTTTAATCTGACCTCATTGCTTTCAACTTACTTTGATGCCACAGGAGACCAATTAAAATATAAAGTCCTTTCAGCTGAATAAAAACCATACACCATCTTACAAGGTTTTTCTAACGTTATTTATAAGATAATTTAATTATATTGCTGGATTATAACGTTTCACAGTTTAAAAGAAAATTATATATTAATCTTCTGTTAATTGCAATAATACAGATAACAATTCATTATATAATCAATAGATGATGGCTCTCCTGACTATAAATTGTTAGGTTTTAAAATTTAATTTACTTTAACACACTGAGTGCCATATATCGGTGATAGGGCATTGCAGTTTATGCTGTGTCGCCATATACTGGTGACAGTTATATTATCATTTTAAATTGCTTTGCCAAATTTTGGAGACCCTACAGATTGTGATGAATAAATTGTCATCTAAATTACACAAAAATGAAAATAACATTGATATCTCATTTTAACAGATATATTTACCCAAATTACACAAAAATATGTTGAAATACAAAAGAGTAAATTCAATAAAATCACCATTGGCTTCAACCACAGCCTCCAGATTACTTTGGAATCTCCTGCTACTATTCTGGACGGTCTCCTTGTTTAAGTTGGTGAATGCTGCCATAATTCTTGCCTTCAGTTTATCTTTGGTATTACAAGGAGTTTTGTGGGTCTCTTGTTCAATTGCACTCCATACATAATAATCAAGGAGGTTACAGTCTAGGGAGTTAAGTAGCCAGATGTAAGGGGTAATGTGGTCACAGAAATTGTCTGACAGCCATGACTGGGTTCTCCTGCTTGTGTGACATGGTGCAGAGTCTTGTTGCCAGACATAGGGTTTTCCAGCAACCACCCTCTTGACTCAGGGCAGCACTACCTCGTCAAGCCACTTGATATAGGCCTCCATGTTGAGTATGAAGCTCTCACCAACAATGATGTTGACTGGATATATCATCTCTTTTCAAATCCTCTGCACTGTCCTCAGATTGACACCCAAACACTCTAAAATGTTCACATTGGAGCTTCCAGAATGAATGCCAAGCAGTACAGCATGCCATTTCCAAATTTCTGGTGGAGTGAATTTCATAATGATGCTCTTTTTTCACAGATGGTACCCACCTGACCCTACTATACTGTACAGTTTGCAAAATCAAAAACAGACAACACACTTGCGTGAAATTAAAAATATAAAATGGCGACAATTTATCCATCGTATCCTGTATGCAAAGCAATGTCCATGGCTTCATGTGAAATTTTTGGAAAATGTATCTGGTACTCTGTTTCTCTTAACTTTTACTTAAATGCTTTATAAATATTTACACTATTTACATTGTTCAGAATGTTGTTCTCATCTTTATTGTCATATTCACAACATTTCGGCTGTTGTACACTCCATCCTTCTTCAAATTATATAATTTTCAAATTGAACCCTTTATTTTGTCCACCAGAGTGCATTGATTAAAGTAATTCAATGACTTGACCCAAAGAGTTGGGAGTTCAATATCTAGCCACAGCAAAGGTGAAAAAAAACTTGGAGAGCCGAGTTATTAAAGGGAAATAACTGAAACTGAAATATCCAGAAAAGGCATGGCATGTGGAACTAGAATAATCTACCCCAGTGGACTAAATAAAGGGTTCAGTTTGAAAATTCCAACATATATCAACTGAAGAAGGCTGGAGTTCACATTGGCCAAAATGTGGATATGACAATAAAGATGAGGACAACAGCCCGAACAATGTAAATAGTGTAAAAAATTAATTTTGTCACCAATATATGATGTGGCCATTATTATAAATGTAAATAGCATGTAATAAAGTTTCTTTATTCACTATGAAGCATCTGATTGTTAGTAAATAATGTATATTATATATATCATTTGGAAAATCTGAGAAAGAATATTATACAGACAAGAAAGTAGCCATCATCACTAGATGGTGACACAGCTTCTGAGTCTACAATAAAGAAATTTGGCAACAATTTTCTCAAAAAAATATTAGCACCAAAAACATTTGATACCTGATATATTCTTTTACAAAATATTTTTTTTAATTTAAAAAAAAAAATATAGTGGCCCACATGACCCGATACTAATTTTGAGTTGGTAGTCACCATGTTAAGAAGCTACATTTATATTTTGACCTAGATTTATTATAAATTTTAAATTTAATACTGTATGAATAAGAATTCAAATCAAAATACAAAATAGCATATAAATGGTAAAAAAAAAAAATAAAGCAGTATTGTGTGTTTCTGTGTGCATGCTTGCATAATGGTACATTTTTTTTCCAAAGAGGTATAGTTGGTGATTATTTGATTTGGTTTGTTTTATAATATATCATCCTTTTCCAGATTATTCAATGCTTAATTCTCTCATTTTGATAAACAATAGATTGGGAGACATAGGTCTGCTTTTACACAAATTAAAAAAAATTAGATATTAAGCAGGTAGACTCTTTATTTTATTTTTTTTGTTAGAGAGAAGAGACTACCCCTCTGCATAAGAATGCAGTCTGTATATACTTGTAACCCAAATGCAAGGATGCTGATTATTTGGTGTGAACCCATTGGGAGGAATATGACTTGCGGTTAAAATAATAATTAATTGCAGATATTTTTTTTACATCTGTAACAGCCAAAAAGTAATTTGTAATTTAGAAAAGAGGATGAATAAATTCACTAGATATAGAATTTATATCCTTTTTAATAAAACTTGTTTGGCAGAATATCTAAAGAGTATATATGTATTCATGACAGAAAACTTATGGAGCATGTTGCTCAACTGCTTTCTTAAGAGCCTGTACTTTATAATACTCCATAAGTTTTCTATGGGGTTGAGGTCAGGAGTTTGGGGTGCCCATGTCATAACACTCACCTGCTTCTTATCAAAGTATTCCTTCATCAATTTTTATTTGTGACAGGGAACATTATCCTGCATAAAAATGAGCTTGGTGGGGTCGATTTGCACCCTTTCAGCAGAAGGGAGCAGACAAGACTCTAAAATTGTACGCTTGTACTGCTTGCTCCTGAGGGTCTTTTCAATAGGTTTTAAGAAACCAGTTCCATGAAAAGAATAGCATCCCCAGAACATTATACTGAACGTATGCTTGACAGTACTTACTGCTAACTTCAAAGAGCTTTCAAAGCTTCTTCTTTGGATTTTAGATCGCTTATCCTTTGAATTTAGCTCAACTTTTGTTTCATCAGAGAAGAGAACATTTAGTAAAAAAAATCAGGTAAGTCACTTTTATTGAACAGCACTGTATCTTCACTGAATTCAAAAGGCATACATGCAGTTGCAATAAATGAATATTTTTATAAAAGAATATTTTATTACTTACTTCAAACATTATTTTTAATTCTGAAATTTTTAATTCTTTCTTTTTAAAGTTAATTTAGAATAGAAGTTAACTTTAATCGAATACAAAAGTCACCTAAGAGATGCTAAATTCTGGAAATAATTCTTTCAGCAATAAAATGATATTTCTATGATTTTTAAGCAAGAAAATCATATATAAACATGCTATTTGTTATATTTCATGTATGAAATTGAAACTTTCTTGAAACAAAGTTTTATCATCAAAATCTTTACATTATTATGAAGAGGAAAAACCAAAGGAGTTTTTGATTATTAAATTATATTTTTTTTTATTCTTTTTAGAACATTATAAATTTTGGTTAAAAATCTTGTTTTTCTGGGATCAGCAGGAGGACCATAAATTAGTATAGAAAATTTTTAGCATCTTTTTTGCAGTGAAAAACATTGATTTGGAAATTCTTGCAAAAATCATATAATTGCTGGATTTTAATGAAACTTTCAAGATTATTCACAAATGAAATTATTTTAGAATTTTTTTTTTTTTAGAAAATTTTGGTAGAAATATATATATATATATATATATATATATTACATCTGTTACCCCTGCCTACTTATTTAATGTTATGAATTTTCAAGAAATTAAATTTTGTGCCACTTAATGTTTATATTAATTAAAAGCAGAACTCCTGGAGTATTTAAATCATCAATTTCTTTTTTGTAAAACAAGACCACCAGTTATGGAAAATCTGCTCTGAATCATAAAATAAAAAATGCAATAAAACTAAGACATTATTTAATTAGAAAAGCTTTTAATTGCTTTTATGAATAAAATATAAAACATTGTTTTTCGATGAATAATGAATTTTTGTAAGAATTGTTTTCATTTTTTTCTAACTTTATGATAATTTATAAAGTTTTAAATTTTTTAAAATTCTGTCTTTGTAGAGGATAGGTAATATTGTTATTAAGGAAACTGGCTTTCAGTGATGACTAATATTTTAAAAACAATTTTGAAAATTTTTTGATGGGAATAAACATGCTAATTTTTTTAAATACAGACGTCCATAGTCAACATTATCAGAAAATAATATCATTAAATATAGTAAATTTAAAGCCAAAGTACTTCAAATTCAATAAAACATTAAATTACAGAGAATATTTTCCTAAATTTTTAAGTTTACTCAGCAGTTAAAAATTATATGAAAAAAGTGCTTACGTTATATTCCTTAGGTAATTTTTACAGATATATACACTGGAGATAAACTTCTGTCTGTTAGTCAACCTGTCAACACCTTAAATAAACAGCCACCACCATGTTAAAAAAAATGTATTTCTGTTATATTTTAAGCTTAAAGTAAGTAATATTTGCTTCAAATCAGATTAATTAAACTTTAAATCAGCTGATAGTCCTCAAATAAAGTTTCAAAAAAGTATATTTTATTTTTAAAAATGACACTGAAATCAGTAATTTTAGCAATTTCAAAACGAAAACCTCTTCCAGTCAATTTAAATTAGTTTTGATATAGAACAAAGAGTTTTGCTTATTGGAAATGTTAAATTTAATCTATTAGTTTGAAATTAAAACTAAAATAAAACATCAAGAAATATATTCTATTTTTAAAAATTAATTTTAAACCTTAAGTCTTGCATTTTTATGGAGGTACCTACTCTAAAGAATTAATTTCGATTTGATATCATATTTTTAGTATAGTATTATTTAATAAAATTTTTATAATTTTTTCTATAATATACTGTAACATTTTCATGGTATAGTATTTCTTAGTTTTTATAGCATAGTATTTTTTAAGAATATATAAATTTTTAAAAGTGTTCTATGTTTTTTATATTATAGTATTTGCAATATAATGTAATCTTTATTGGTATAATTATATAGTATTTTAATAATATAGTTTTTTTTATAATAGAGTATTTTATAGTATAGAAGTTTTTTATAATATATTTTCTAATATTTTTTAAATATAGTTTTTATAGTATAGAAGTTTTTTTATAATATATTTTTCTAATATTTTTAGAATATAGTTTTTATAGCATAGTATTTTTTTTATAATAGTTTTTACTGTATAGAATTTCTTATAGTTTTTAATAATATATTATAGTATTTTTATAGTATAGTATTTTTTTATAGTATAGTATTTTTATAAAGTTTTTATGTTATAGTATTTTTATATAATTTTATGGTATAGTATTTTTATAATATAGTTTTTTATAGTATATCATTTTTTAAAAATCATAGTGTTGTAAGTAAGCAAGTGCCCTCACAACAAGCATGATAATTTAGGACAATAAACTAGAAAATCACATGTTATATAAGATGTGGCAAAAAAGAAATAAGTTGGAGGTTTCTAATTATGCAGCTCAGTAGCCACACACTAACAAATTACATTATAGAATTACCCACTTTCTGAACACGCCCATTATTGGTTTTTCAAACCTATTATTTTTCTTTTCCCAGGTGGGTTTATAACTCCTGTGAAGTGTACTCTGTAATTCTATGTGTGTGAAGCAAAGAATTAATATCAAGCCAAGTTGTTAGATAAACTAGGGCAAGATCCAACAGAGACTCTAACCATGATGAACAATCTGAACAAGAGAGCAGACAACACTGGCAACACTGAAATATCATCCGTACTTTCCATATCTAGCAACATGTGACTTCTGGCTCTTTCATAAGCTGGAAAAGTGTTCTCAAAAGGACAATTTTTGAGTATGTGGACATCCAAAATATGTGTGACCAGATTCCTGAAGGCTATGAAGAAGGAAAATTTTGAAGAGTGTTTTGAGATATGGAAATAAATACTTAAGTGCATTGACTATACAGGGAGGCTTATTTTGAAAGTGAGAGTATTTGTTATTAGTAGCTTGTTATTTAAACAAATAAAAGTTTTATTGATAGAATTTTGTTTCTTTTTTGCCACGCCTTTGTATATTTGTTTATGCAACCAATAAAACTCACGACACTTATTAATCACTTTCTGTTTAAGAAAAAATAAAAGTGTTTATACAACTTTACTCCGCAAACCATTTTACATCTCAGGATTCCTTACAAAAAAAGAAATTTTCTGTAGTATCCACATACATATTTTTTTCAGGATGTAGGTGACTATAGCTCTCCACAGGTTGATTTATCTTTTATTATTTGCGAATTCTACGCATTCATTGGACATGAGAGTAGAGTGGTTTTCCACTGCCTACTCCAATTTCTAATTCAGATTTATCCTTCTCCTAGACTGGCAACCAACCAAGACTAGAGAGTACAGTCAACCCTACTTAACCCATAGCTGGATGTGTTGAGAAGAGATGTATTCATTCTTTTCCCCCCAAGGACATTAGCGTTAATCTGAATGCAACAGACCAGGCTGGAATTTGAACTCAGCACATAGATTCCACTTTCTATGCTGATAACCATTGTGCTACTTGACTTTACAGAATCTCTGGCTAGTTTCAGTCCTTTGTCTGTGACTGATTATTCAGGAGACAATTTCCTCTATACCAATATCTTACTCTATCCACTGAGAAGTGATCTTAAACTCAAAAGGAAAAGTAAATGTGAAAGTTGATCAATAAGTCCTGAGCTGAAACTTGATCAGATATTTACACACTGTAATATTCTGTCCATGGAGAAGCATTGGTTTAAGTGCATTAACAAGGAAGATTATATTGGAAAATAAATATATGCTGTGTAAAATAAACGTTTTGTTTTCAGTATTAAGCTATAGCAGGGCTTTCCAGACTTTATGCATTAGTGACATACTTAAAAAATTATTTTTTTTACTAAACATTACTCAAGTCTTGTTAGCCAAGCCAAATACATCATCCAAAAGAAAATCACCATGTTAAGAAGCTACATTTATATTTTGACCTAGATTTATTATGAATTTTAAATTTAATACTGTATGAATAAGAATTCAAATCAAAATACAAAATAGCATATAAATGGTAAAAAAAAATAAAGCAGTATTGTGTGTTTCTGTGTGCATGCTTGCATAATGGTACATTTTTTTCCAAAGAGGTATAGTTATGGTACATAAAAGCAAATAATGAAATGTTTAGTTAGTAATTAAAGGAAATACAATTAATTAATTGCACTAATGTATTGTGATCTACCATTAAGTGTGGCTATAGACTTACTTTATATAAGAGAAGACCTGGGTGAGTTATTTAATTTGTAATTAAATAACTAGTATAACTTATTTACTATCAGTAATTACTATGGAAACCAAATGCATTAAAAGAAAAATTTTTTTTTAAAAATGCATAATATAAATATAAACTGTATCAATAGCATATTTTTTGGCCTCTTGCATATCATTTATTGCCAACATTGTCAAAATCCAAGATCATCTGAACTAAATCTATTTCTACCATTTCAGATTTGTCATCAGAGTCAAGAATAGCCTGGAAGTCCTACTAATCATTCATAATGGTTGATATGGTATCAAAATGCGATCACCTAATGATGAAAAATAAAAATAAATTGCCAATTTCAAAGCATGCTGCCACTATATGAAACAGACATGTTGATCAGGTTGATTCAATAGCATATACCCCTCTATGGCCAGTTGGTAATATTAGATTTGATTGTAAAAGATATTGTGTCTGGCTTGCCAGATCTGGACAGTCCTTCTAGAAAGAATTAAAAGAAAAAAAATCTTACCTGCATGTTCATGAACAAGATATGGTAAATCTGTATCCCTTTGCCAAACATCTTGATCACAGTGGTAAACCTCCACACTACCAAGAACTCCAGTCCAGTTTATACCCCCAACAGCATAGAGACAGTTGTTTAAAACCCCTAAATAAAATAAACACCGGTATTCATTCATGGCGGCCACCTGTAAAGAAAAACAAAGAAGAGTAAATAGTAAGCAAATGTCTCCAAAAATAGTAGGAAAATGAAAGCACGAAATCTTTATAACTCAAAAACGTTTTTGAATAGGAAAAATGAAAAAAACACAAAGCCTCACAAAAAGGAAATAAACTATAGATTTTTTTAGCATACAAGTCTCAGTCTCAAGGCTATACAGCTGCATGACTACTTATAAAAAGGTCATGTTTTGATAGGCCCATTATAAAGTAAAATGTCCTGTCAGCAAGGTTTTAAATATGCCAGCTACATCCCCTGCAGAGGGGTAAATTCCATTCCCATTGTAAAATGCTCACTTTCTATGCAGATGCTTACAGCCTCAAATATAAACTCAACCAATGTTTAACTATAGACTCAAGTATAAACCAAACCAATGTTTACCTATTTTTTTTAATAATATTCATCCAGGCCTAAGAGCCACTCAATGTAGAGGATTACTATGTGGAGTTATATTAATATAGGAAAGGACAAGCATTAGGAGTATAGATAAGAAGTAGACTTTAGAAGGAACCAAAAAACCAATCCTAAACAGGAAACAAGGGATAAGCCCCTACTCCTGTTTAATGAAGAGGAGTGTGAATAAGATAAGTGAACCAATCTGGTCTTGGTTTATGCTTGAGTCTATGTTTAGCTATAGACTCAAATATAAACCCAAGATACGAGTATAGATCCCATTAATGTTTACCTATAGACACAAAGATAAACCCAACCAATGTTCACCTATAGACACAAAGATAAACCCAACCAATGTTCACCTATAGACACAAAGATAAACCCAACCAATGTTCACCTATAGACACAAAGATAAACCCAACCAATGTTCACCTATAGACACAAAGATAAACCCAACCAATGTTCACCTATAGACACAAAGATAAACCCAACCAATGTTCACCTATAGACACAAAGATAAACCCAACCAATGTTCACCTATAGACACAAAGATAAACCCAACCAATGTTCACCTATAGACACAAAGATAAACCCAACCAATGATAAACACAAAGATAAACCCAACCAATGTTCACCTATAGACACAAAGATAAACCCAACCAATGTTCACCTATAGACACAAAGATAAACCCAACCAATGTTCACCTATAGACACAAAGATAAACCCAACCAATGTTTACCTACAGACTCAAGTATGAACCCAACCAATGTTTACCTACAGACTAAAGTATGAACCCAACCAATGTTTACCTATTAGCTGGGTTTATGCTTTAGTTTATGTTTAGCTATAGACTCTAGTATAAACCTAAATAATGTTTACCTATAGATTTAGATTGAAATATAAACCTGAATAATGCTTATTTATATATCCAAGTAAAGACTTCACAAATATACATTAAAACAACAAAAATAAATTGACATTAAATAACTCAAAAAGGATTGAAATATCATAAAACCTATCAACTCATGAAGTGAAAAAAAATCATCAATCAAAAATAACTATCATAATCTAGGCTAGCCAAATATCCCAGAAATATTAAATATAAAAGCAGTTGCTATTTTTTTTCTTTCTTTATCAGGTGATGCACAGCAGATACAGTAATGGGCTTTCAAAATACAATAACATGAAAGCATTATGTTATGAACAAAAGAGAAAGAGTATCAGGTTAAACAATGGAAGATGTTAATAGTCTGGATCACTAGTGAGACTGGCAGCTGTGTAGATGCTGCTAACTTATACCAGCACTGATAGAAATATTATACATACACAAGCCCACTAAACATCACTTGTTAATGAAAAAATAAAAATTTAGAAATTTAATAACCATTGAACATTCATCACTATTATAGTTGATGAATTCTAAGTTGAGCAATTATAAAGCAAGGAATATCTAATACTGATTAAATTCCTGCTAACAACCAATCAAATTTTATTACTAATGTATTGCTTTTGTCTTAAATTCAGTCAAATTTTTCATTAGTATTGCTTTCACCTTAATTTTGGTCAAATTTTTCATTAGTATTGCTTTCACCTTAATTTTGGTCAAATTTTTCATTAGTATTGCTTTCACCTTAATTTTGGTCAAATTTTTCATTAGTATTGCTTTCACCTTAATTTCAGTTGCTTTTTATTGAAACTATTCAGGCCATCTTCCATAGTCATTAATGAATAAAAATAATCAAAATTAAAGCATCAACTGTTATCTATCCTACATATCCTCATAACATGCAACTCTTTCTCCCTCCTTGGATAACCTAACAACTACCTCATTTAGTAAGCCTCTACCTTGAATACCTCTTGGGCTTTGTATTCGGTGATCAATAGTAAAATAGTAATTTTTGTTGTTATATCCAACAGTTTACAGTGAGTAATTCTTTTTTTCTTATCCCTACTCTTCCATGCTATGTTTTATATTTTTGCATATATTTATATATACTTTTTAAATGTCCATTTTTAAAGCTTTAATAAAATAAATACTGGACAACACTTAAAAATTAACAGATGCACAACACACTTGCTAAAACACTAATAAAAACAAAGTTGAAGATACCAGTTTGAATAATTTTATTATTCTATTAATTAGCTCGAGTAATTTGTGGAATAATACATTATTGAAAAATATAAGATCTATAAATGCTGAGGGCTGAATACTAAGCAATCATCATTGTACATACATAAAGAGTTAAATGGAAATGGAAATGGTAATATTAGCCATTTCCTTATAAGGAAACATTTGGCATTCGTTCACCAAACAACTAGTACTACTTTCAGTTGAAATTTATAAAATCTTTCTCTCAAAACATTTTTCAGGAAAATAAGTTTCTCGAATCCAGGAGCTATTATCTTTTTTTCAAGTATTGTTGGGGGTTTCCTTCCTTACCTTTTGTATGAAGTAGTATAAACATCCTGATTATATCATTTTCTCTTCAAGTTATAGATATGTGGTATCCATTGTAGTTGTTGCTGCTCTTGAAAGTAAAAGTGATGAGGTTTCTATTATTTGATAAAGTGTTTTTGTTTAGGATTCTGCAGTGCTAGTCCACAAATTTAAAAGAGTGTGGTCTTTGCCAAGACTCCTAGGATTCATTCACTTAAAGCCATTTTTAGCCATTGAGAAAGCAGTTATATACAGCTGACAGTTTAGATATTTCTGAATGGTTTTGCATGACATCTATATGAAAGTCTCAATCTGACAAGGCTATTTAAGAACATAACTTATTATTAAGGTTATTGTTTTGGTTTTGTAGCAATATGCAGTGTTTGGTAAGACTACCTCTAGCACAGCCTATTGTATGTTCAATTTCCTTGTCTACTAAGTATTATACTAAATTTGAAAGATCATAGCAGAGACAAATGTTTTTTTTTTTGGGGGGGGGGGAATTTAGCCTTAAGTTACCAAAGGCTGCCAACATGATTATCAGGAAGTTTTTGCCGCAAATTACTTAGCTGCTGGACAGTCAATGTCCAATGTTTATCGGCTGGGGTTAGTCTTTTCATCTTCTTCCTCTTTATTTAAGAGAGAAATATATAGATAGAAAGAGAGTGAAAGATAGAAAAAGTGATAAGGATTTTAAGGGAAAGCAAATATTTTGTTGTAATTTGAATTCTTTTCTATTTGTTTATTTTTACATTTTATTCTATTTTATTGGTCTCACTACAATTCCAAATTAAGATGAAAATGCACCCACACTATAAAGGGAAACTACCATCAGCATGCACCTTTAAAGAAGAATTCTTTCATTGGGGTTTTATGAAATTATATTCTTCATTCCTTCCATAGTTTTTTTCTTTTTTGAATTTCTTTCTTTATTGTATTTTGTTAATGTTATATCCCATGCTAATAGAAATATATACTTGACAAACGCGGTTGATAAAATAAGTAAAGGTTTATTATAAAAACCAATACAATAAGAATAAAGGTAACAATCATCAGTCAATCCAGTAATGAGTGCTACTATTGGAAGGTCAATAGTTCTCACGTAATTCAGAGTCATACTCAGCAGATCCCAGCTAGAGTATCTAGCAACTGCCCCATACAGTCACATGTGGCACAAGGCCAAATTTAATGTGGGGTTCTCAAGCCCGTAGGCTAAGCCAAAAAATCCCCGTAGACCCCACATAAATGGAATCGGATCTGTCTACCTCTCCAAATGAGATTGCCCTTCAGCATAGCCTTGTACAGGTTCCTCTCTGTCTGAAGGCAGAGAGTTCAACAGTACAGCTGAAAAGATTCCAGCTAGAATATTTGCCAACCATCCCATATGGTCAGATGTGTCACAAGGCCAAATTTAACATGAGGTATTTGAGCCCGTAGGCTCAGGCAAAAATTCCCCGTAGACCCTGTAAAAAACGAGGTCAGGTCGGTCTACCACCCCAGACGAGACTCTGCTTTTTGACATAGCCTCGTCTTGGTTCCTCTCTGCCTTTCAGTACAGCTGAAACGATTTCAGCTAGGATATTTGCCAACCACTCCACACAGTCAGATGTGGCACAAGGCTGAATTTAACGTGGGGTATCCGAGCCCATAAGCTTGGGCAAAAACGGGGTTGGGTAACTGTCTACCACTCCAGGTGAGACTCTGCCCTTTGGCATAAGCTTGTCTGGGTCCCTCTCTGCCCAAAGGTAGAGAGTTTGACAGTAAAGCCGAAAAAGATTTCAGCTAGACTCTGTAGTCTATTGACTTAGATACTTATAGGTAGTTACTACCTATAGTGTAGTCATTCATGGGGGTGAAAGGTTATTCCATTACATCAGTTAAAATAAAAACCCTGTAAAAAATACTACAATTGGTAAAAATTTTAGGGAAGACAAGACCCCCTCCCCATGGCTGCTACAGCCCTGATTTGTTATAACTGATCCATACACCAAGGCATTTGAAAGATTTTTAGCATTTACTAATTCCACATTCTGAATTTTTATGGATTCATTGTATATGCCATCATTGCATTCATTCCATTTCAAGATCATAGATTCTGTCTTGGAAAAAAGGTTTATAAGGAAATTGAACATAGAAT